TATCCTTTCTGCAGAGGGAGGCTGGGTGCGTGGGACCCGTCCCCGGGGTGCGGGAGGGATGGCATTGCCGGTCTCCTCGGGCATTGGTGTGTGTGGCTGTTGGGGGTACTCGGGTGCAACGCTGGCTGCAGGGGGACCTGCCTGGCTTTGCTTTGCAAACCTCTTGGCTTGCACACGCCTTGCGCTTCAAGTACTCTATAACAGCCCTGCACTCAATGGTACCTGTAATTGCATAGGAAGCAGACTAGAGGGGCGATTTTAGTGTAGTGTTGCTCTAATTAAGAACAGGGATTACTAGTAGAGGTTGTTTATAGTAACTTAAATATTTGGAAGATTAAGTAAGCTGCATATCTTAGTGTAGTAGAAGTGCTCACCTGCAAAATGCAATGTGAGCCTTTCAATTGAATATACAGAACTTGGGGGAGGGGGCGGTTACTTAAGACAGATTGTAGAAAATATGGGAAGTAGTAAGCTTTGGATCAATGATACTCAGACCTCAATGGTTCAGGAGTCAAATTAGTGATAAACATTGCCCAAAAGATCCACACTAGTGAGAATTCATTGTTTACATTTACTGTAGTGCTATTCACAATAAACAGTGTGATGGGAAATATTTAATTTTTGTGTATGTATATAGTATTTTCACTGCCAAGTGATTTACCAAGTATTATTTTTATTAACTACAGTTGGTTGTTAACATAGAAGTATCCAGATTGAATAATAATTAGTGTTTTATCATGTGTTGCAAAAACTTGAAAGAGTTGCATTAACAGCTACATCAGTCTGAGTATCACTGCTCTAGATGCTTGTTACTGGGTGGGTGGGAGTCTGTCTTTTACAAGTTTTTAAAAATTCAAATGTATGTTTAAAATTGTTGCATGTTCAATTCATACTTTTTAACGAGTCCTTGATGTTTCAATTTAAAAGTGACCAGTGGGGCTGAGGCTGTGTCCACTGAGGCTAAGATGACTGCCTTTCCTGATTGGCCATGGCTTTTCCATACATTGTGTGACCCTTGCCCTATGACCCTTTGGCTGACCTTACCGGAAGCCATGACGACAGCAGCCTTTTGCCATTAGACGCAGGGTGATGGTGAGGATTCCAAGGGTTAGACAAAACTGGTTAAACTGAACTAGGTGACTGTTACCTTGCGTGTTTTGTGGCCAACCACCAAAAACCTCATACTGTGATGTAAGTACTTAGCATAACTAGTAAACGTTTTTGTAAAATGTAGAATTGCATGTAATCAGTTAAGTTTTATATTTTACAATGTTCTGTAAAATAAAACTTAGCAAGGTAAATCTAATAAAGGAGCAGTCACTCTCTAACTGATCTTAGGAGCACAGACTGGTAGGATTTTAGTCTATTTGATTTGCCATTAATATAGATCACGGCAAAATTGCAACTTTGTATGAGGTTTAGAAAGATAATGAATTCCTACTCCTGTAAATATAATGTGTAACTAATTTTTTCAGAATATTTAGCTGCTGTCACATTGAGACAATCTAATTTTGTTTCTTTGTACAATAAAGGTGGGAGTGGTGGAGGCAGTGGATATAGCAGTCGGAGACAGTCAGGAAGAGATAAATATGGACCGCCTGTTCGTACAGAATACAGACTGATTGTTGAAAACCTTTCCAGTCGTTGTAGTTGGCAGGATTTGAAAGTATGTATTAACGTGAAATCTCTTAATAGTCACTTGTGACTAGCAGAAAGCAATAAGATTTTACTTTAATGTGGATGTTTTTTCATTATTTAGCAGAAATATTTTGAAATGTATTCAGGCATGCTAATTTACATTGTTGATGTTTTTTGCATCTGCTCAGCTTTGACTTAGTGACCTACTTGTACTGAATAAATGTGGAAATGGTTATGTAACTCTTCATCTACTTTCTAAGGATTTTATGAGGCAAGCTGGTGAGGTAACTTATGCGGATGCTCACAAAGAACGCACAAATGAAGGGGTAATTGAATTCCGCTCTTACTCTGACATGAAGCGTGCTCTGGACAAATTGGATGGCACGGAGATAAATGGCAGGAAAATCAGACTGGTTGAAGACAAGCCACGGACAAGCCATAGACGATCTTATTCTGGCAGCAGGTCAAGGTAACTTTATAGCAAAGACTCTGTGCTCTGATGAGAGGGCCTATTATATGTACTCTTAATGTTAAGAGTAATCATTACCTTTATAATTTGTTGATACTTCAGGGATAAGATGACTCCCAGGGGTCTGGAAGGAATGTTTTTCCATGATGTAACATTGCATAGTTGACCAGGTGCATTGTGGGGAGGACGTTTCACCTTCCTCTGAAACATCAAGTATAGGCTACTGACAGATGGTATTCTGGACCTAGATGGACCAATGATCTGCTCTGGTATGGCCACTCCTGTTGCTAAAAATTCATGATAAGACACTTTGGCTATGCTAAAGTAAGGGGGGAGCAGGACATACCAGGCTTAAAAAAAAACACCCTCTGAATTTGGTGTAGTCAGTTACAGGTACCTTTTTGAAATGTCACCAGGTCACGATCTCGGAGAAGATCACGCAGCAGAAGTCGTAGGAGTAGCCGCAGCAGATCCCGTAGTGCCTCAAAAAGCCGCTCGCGGTGAGTAGTTTGTGTTGAATGATGCTTTCTGTTAATTCATTAGTTTGTAACTATATTTATTTATACATAGGAACTGGCATGTGTACATTTTGGTCAGTGGTGAATAAAAATTGTGTTCTTTTAAAGATCTAAATCCAGGTCAAGAAGCAAAGATCGTTCACGTTCCAGATCTAAAAGCAGGAAGTCTAGATCAAAGAGCAAATCCAAACCCAAGTCTGATCGAGGCTCCCGCAGCAGATCCAAGGAGAAATCCGAGAAATCTCGAAGCAGGTCTAGATCTGTGTCACGCTCTCCCAAAGAGAATGGTAAAGGAGAGGCTAAGTCTAAATCCAGATCAAGAAGTAGATCTCATTCGAAATCACCACAGCAGCAACCACCTGCCAAGGCTCGCTCTGAGTCACCACCCAAAAGAGCTGCATCAAGGTCCCGCTCCAGATCTCGCTCAAAATCTCGCTCACGATCAAGATCTAGTTCAAGAGATTAAGACTAGAACTCTCCTCTTACTTTGCACACTATTATGGAACATTTTCCTACTTGCCAGGCCATTAATCTTTTATGTTAGTACTTAAGAAGTTGGTTTCTTCTCTTGGAGAAGGGAATGGCCTGAGAACCAAGTAATGAGGCATATCTAAATTTGATGAAAAGATGAGGTTGTACAGAAATGTAAAAGCAGGAGACCCCCCCCCCTTTTTCTAGAAATAGTTGGGTGGAAGGTGGTTTTTATATTAAAAATACATGTGTATGAGGCTTCAGTTCAGGCATTTTGAGTGTTATTTTTCCTAATTTTTTTCACTGTTTTTTAAAATTATGAACATCAGTTTAATTGGTTATGGCTTGCTACCAGAGGCATGAGCACCTTGTTTAAACAGGTCATTATAGATGATGTGGTGGTCTTAATTTGTAGAAGCAGAATGTGAACTGAACGTATGGTAAACATAAAACTAGGCAAATTTCAGACCAGCAATAAACTCAGTTTGGAGCACTTCAGTTGTGCTGTATCTTAACTTAGCTTGGCAAAAATTTTCTTTCCTGCTTTCCCATAATTGTATTAAACTAATAAAGGTACTATTCTGCGGACTGACATGATGCAGTATTGCCTAAACTCATAAATAAGTTCAAACAATGGAAGTAACATGACTTTTTAGTTTGCTTGGATTCCAGGTGACACACTAATTCTCACAGTGGTGTCTTTCTGGATGTGGTCCTTATCATTAGTGTCTTGTCTCAATGGCGGGCCTCTAAACATTTACCTTTTGGGTATGTAAAACTGAGTAAAGCTTCCTTCCCCTATGATTCATTTAATATCCACGTTGCTTCAAAATATGAGAACCACAATCCCCTTGGGTATGAATCTGAACCTCTATGGGATTGTAATGTATTGGAGCTAGAGTTCTAGTCTTAACAGAAGGCTTTACTAAACCAGATTTGCCAATTCACTTAAATTGTGGAGTAGAATCCATCCCAAAAGCCCCCTTATAGCTAAATTGACTTTTGTAACCTGAAATAGCAAACATTAGAACTGCCTTGTAATCTTTATACAATGTGTAGTTTTACTTGTATAAAATTAAATCAGTGACTCATTCTTGTGCTTTTATTACACTGTGGCTTCTTTTCTGACTAAATTGCTGAATCCTTCTCTGTGGCTTCTGAGGTAGATTCTTGCTATGTGGAGAACACATCAGGTCATTTGATAAAATTAAATGAGGTGGCAGGACATACTATAGTTTTATACATTGTATTAGTCTTACACTGTGACATTTGGTTTCTAAATGTCTTGTTTGAGACTTTTAATTGTGGGCAGGAATAAGCATTCAGAAACATCCACAATAAGGGAAGCTATCTTGGACCTATGTATTTGTAACTGGTATTTATTTTGTAGGCATAAATACCTGCAAACAAGGTGGATTTCAGCCTTGTTGAAAGTGTCTTAAAATAAATCCTTTCATTTGATGGATCTTGAAATAGTATTTGTTCTACAAAAAGACACCAGCATGTGTTGATGCAAATTCTTCTAATATAGCTAACACATGACAATTTTCAGGGGTGAGGAGTGAGGGTGTCAGCTTCCTCACTCACAGGGTTGCAATGGAGAGGTGGTTGGGCTAAATTTCAGTCAGTGGCTTTGAAATGTTTGCTAGCATTCTTTCTTGCTTAAAGTGAAAGATGCCCTGAAAACTTTGTAGACCTTTTTGGTTAAGGTATGTGCTTTTAAGAGGTTTCTGGTCTTTGCAGTTTGACAGCAGGATCAAAGAACTGATTGACTTAGTAGAATCCCTTTTTTGTAATCATGGCCCCACTTCTATCGAGTTAACATTAGAAAGCCCCATTTTGAAATTTCAAGCATTGCAGAAACCAGTGTACCAAGGTTACTCTGGGGCACAGAGAATTTGCTGGCGCATTGACTCCCTCCTGAGTTGTTCCGTGATCTCAACTTGTAGTAATGTTTCTCCCTTTTAGTTGTAAAGAGAATATTGAAGAGTTGGGGGCATCTTTATTAGACAGTCTTAAAAATGTTGAGCATTCCTACCATTGAACTAAAAACAGAACTATGTAGCACTTTAGACTAACAAGATGGTTATTAGGTGATGAGCTTTCGTGGGCCAGACCCACTTCCTCAGATCAATATATGGAAGAAAATCGGCACAACCATATATACCAAAGTGATACAATCAAAAAAATAAATGCCTGTGAAATTGACAAATCAAATTTTAGAACAGAGTGGGAGTGGGGGGGAAGGTTAGTGTCTGAGGTAATGACATTGGGGTGATAACTGGGGAAGCGATCTTTTGATATCAAAGATAGCTTCCCCAAATATCACCCCAATGTCATTACCTCAGACACTAACCTTCCCCCCCACTCCCACTCTGTTCTAAAATTTGATTTGTCAATTTCACAGGCATTTATTTTTTTGATTGTATCACTTTGGTATATATGGTTGTGCCGATTTTCTTCCATATATTGATCTGAGGAAGTGGATCTGGCCCACGGAAGCTCATCGCCTAATAAACTACCATGTTAGTTTTTAAAGTGCTACATAGTTTCTTTTGTTTCAGCTAGACCAGACTAACACGGCTGCATATATCACTATTCTACCATTGAACTAGATACTGTAGAGCCTCTCATACGATCAACTAATTGTTCAGATTTAGTGTAGATAAGTCCTTAGTCTGCTGAAAGCCTGACACGTCTTCATGGTAGACCCTGAAGATAACACAAACTTGAACAATTTCACAGCTTGATATTTTGGCAGAAACATCCCATTGAGTGTGCTTGTCCCAGATATTTTCCCACACCACCTCCAGGCATCTAGCTGCCAAACCTTGGTTCCCACTAGGGATGTTAAAAAGCAAATGCTTATCAGATAGTCAACTAGTCTATCAGCCTTTCCACTAGTCGATTCCCCCCTCCATCCCCACCTCTGAGAGGTGCAGCGAAGGTGGGGGGGAAGGGGTAGTACTTCAAAGTGGCATTTCAGAGGGGTAGTTGCGGTGGAGCCCGGGGTCAAGTGGGGCTCTTAGCAGCATAGCATGGAGCCCAGGGTCAGTGGCGGACTCGGAGTCCCTGCTGACCCTGGGCTCCATGGCTTCAAAATGCACAAGAGCCCCTGCTGGGCACTCTTGTGCATTTCAAAGCAGGCACCCACATGCAGCCTGGTGTCAGCAGGACTTCCCGCTGGCTCCGAGCTGTACGCAGAGTTCCACATTCCGCCTTCAAAATGTACAAAATGACTCAGTCTGGCTGAGTGCCTTCCCCACCCTCACCCCGCCATGGGGGCTATTATACGTTTCAAAGGAGGAATGCAGAAGTGACTAGTTGATGAAAATTCTGTTGACTAGTCAATTAATTGCATTTTAACATCATAGTCAGAGCTGGAAGAGGCCTCAGGAGGTCAAGTCCAGCCCCCTGCCCAAGGCAGGATCAATAACAACTAAAACAACCCAGCCAGGACTTAGTCATGCGGAGACTTAAAAACCTCTAGGGATGGAGATTCCACTCCCTCCCTAGGTAACTCATTCCAATACTTCACCGCCCTCCTAGGGAAATAGTTTTTCCTAATATCCAACCTAGACCTCTACTGTAACTTGAGACCATTGCTCCTTATTCTGCTATCCGTCACTACTGTTAATTCCTGCTAACTTCAGCTCAGTTTATGCATCCTCAGTGTGAACATATCTCAGTGTGAAAACTGTGAAGTTAAAGATATAAAAGAATAATCTAAGGTGATGTGTGAATACAATATCCCCTGAAGCTGCTATGGAACTTTGATTCTGAACTGCAGAATCTGGTGTCCTTGCCTTAGAATTGAGTTCTTAGCATATTGTGGTGGAGTATATCGAAGGCCTTAATACATGGCCTCATGTTACTGCATAAAGTTATTCTGGTCTCCTTTCTCTGTTTTACCTTAATGGAAATTTCTCATTCCCCCTGAAAGTCATCTCCTAGCTAAATGTGAACTGTTGTCATACTGTAATTTTAGAGCAAGTGTTTTAGAGCAAGCTTTCCTTCACTTATTAGGGTAGATATTCCTCTAATATTTGCCCAAAAATGTGATCTCTTATGTATATCTGGATTTAATAAGCTGCAGACATGGGCAAATAGAAATATATGCTCCCTTTTTGAGTGACCTTATTGCAAGCACAGTTCATTAAGATACACTTGTAATACAAGTTGGACCTCCCTAGTCTGGCACCCTCAGGACCTGAGCAGTCCCGAAAGAGTGGATTTGCTAGACCCTAGGAGGTCCCCTGCTACTGACCACGCAGCCCACTGCCCCTCCCAATTGTTGGGTCCTGGCAGGACTTTGTTTCTAATGCCACCTGCCCACTAGGGCTTTTGCAGGTGGGGTTCCCTGACCGTTGCTGGCCCTGCTCTCGCCAGCCCCCCAGGGTTCCTAGCCGTGCTCCCAGCTGTACAATCAGACCTCCCTGGGTGCTCTGGTCCAGAAATGCCTATGGTCCTGCAGGACCAGAGAGTCCTAGTTTAGCGAGGTACAATCTGGTTTAGAATCAGCGTACCAGATTTTACTTGAGTTCTGGAAAGATTTAATCTTTTTGCCATAGAAGATAAATATGAATTCATGCATTCTAAAGAATGATGGCTTTAAGTAAACCCTATTTGCCAAACGCTGTAATACTTATGGAAGAGTGAAGTCCAAATGCATGGAGGGGGAAATATTAAATCAACCTTGCATCTCTGAGATTTCTTCCCTTGCCCCGTGGCACCACCCAACAAGTGAAACTTGTCCTGGAGTAGTCTCTAACCAGTACTAGTAAAGCACAAACCTCAGTGGGACTGTGGCAAGGTAGATTAGGTCTGAGCTAGAAGCTGCATGGCCTTATCTTTCCTCGGAATAAAAGCAAGAATTATCCAGGCTGCCTGTAGTGGCTATTAGGGTCCAGAAAGACCCTATATAAGGGCTGAGCTGTTGAAGGCCTGCCAAAAGAACACTGGCTGGAGGAGAGAGGGTACTTGCAGGAGGCAGGGGTCACCCCAAAGTATGACTGCAAAGCAAGCTCATGCCCAATCAAGAACAGAGGGGTTGTCCAGTGGGGGGAGGGGAACGATATTGGAAGAGCAAGGGAGGACTTGCAAGAGGCAGAAGTCAATCTGTTACAAAGAGCTAGTCCTGATTCCCAGCTGCTCATTATAGACTTGTAGTAGTTTTGAGTGTCAGAAAAATATAAAATGCAGGACAATGTAG